TGAATGAAAATATGATGTCAATACTGTATGGATGTGAGTTGCGACTCTGACTTGGAAAGTAAAAATGAAATAGCTAGTACATCCCACAGGATAAGAAAGTATACATTATGTAAATGATTAGATTGATTCTACTGAATCTAAGTCCTAGAAGCAGTTTATTGGTGACCTCACTTGGCTAAAAAATGGAGTAGATGTTTCTATTTCAAATTGAAACCGGACCCTAAAGGGCCCTGCTGCCCATCAATGACAGAGTCAAATAAGTAGAGACAAGGTTGAATCTTTGTGGTGCTCTTTATTATTCAGATGGCCGGCTATCTGAGAGAACCACAGGTGTAATACCCTGAAAAGACAGCTCCAACATTTCGTTTTGAGACAGCCCTTATACAGGATTAGAGGGTAAGAAAAAATCTAAAACTAGTGAGTTCCCAGGGTCTGTTTTCTATCATTGTCCTTGCAAAGATCAGCCCTGGGACGCTGTCTCCCTTCAGGTAGGTTCTGTCCTTGATCTGTGCTTTAAATGCATCTTCTTTTGAGTGACGGGCTCATCTGGGCTTTGAGCTGCCTTATCTTTAAGCCCTGTTCGTCTTCTTGCAACACATCCTCCAGTTTCCCAGGGTCTTGGGGCTGCCTTATCTTTAGGTCCTGTTTTCCTTGTGTCAACTTGTCCTTCAGTTTCCCAGTCTGTAAGAAAAATTTCTTTTCTATGTAAATAGCCATAAGACAACTGTGATTCTATTCTACATGCCCCTCCCCTATCAAAATGGCTTGTTGGTTGGTATTCTACATTGACATTGCATTACTTTATACAACTCAGAAAAAAGGATTGGGATGATTAAATCTCTTATAGGATTATTTTTAAAAAGGCTTAATTAAAGTAATTGCACCCAAAAATCTATTAAGAAAGCATATAATGAATAAACTTCTACTAGCTTTTTTCACAGAGATTGGACCATTCAGATCTGCTCTTGCTCGGAAACGCCCTCTTCATTGTTTAATTCTACCAGTCGTTGATCTGACCTCAACTCTCTGATTTTGATCCTTTTAATATTTACCAAAAATAAAACAAACCTTAAAATGAAGGGGGGGGGAAGCGTATTACTGACCAAAGAGAGAAAGAGTTCTCTCGAGGAATGATATAGGCCCGGCTTCTACATCCATGAATTCGGTGGGCCTGGTTAATAATGCGGGTAACTGATAATGTTGAGCAGATGAAATGAATGTCACCATGGCCACCATGCATGCGAATTCTAAGGTTTATGCCATCCTTTCAGATTGGGGTACACTGGGGTATCATGTTCTGCTTTTTGTTTTCCTTTTTATAAGCATTCCTTTATAGAACAGTAAAATGACATATTTTTGCAGCCGTTTTTATGGCTTTTTTTCCTGAGAAAATTGTGTTCTTAGAAATATGTCAGTCTCTTGTAAAAAAAAAAAAACAAAAAAACCAAACCTTTATCTTCCTTTGTATGCAACTGAATATGCCCTGAAAAGCCCATCAGTGGTAAAAGAAGAGCAACTGGGCTATCACCATTAATCTACAGGGCATGGTTCCTTTTGTCTGCATGGTACCACATACCGTACTGCTTAGGCACCATGTGGCACATGGCTTGCTGTTCATATAATCCAGGTGTTTGGTTTTTGGTGGTGGTGGTGCGGTAGTACGTACAGCTGTGTGTTTCGAGGGTGGTGTCAGGAATCACTGTGAAGTGTTAAAACATTAGTAGACTCCAGAAGACATTGATGTGAGGACAAGATAATGTCTCAGCTCCTTTTCTCTTTTTACCTCCACATGATAGGCATTGTTAAGGTCATGTTTTAGGTGGGAATGCATCTCAGGATAACTAGCAAATCGGCCAATTTTGGAGTCAGTCATTTGAGGCAAAATAACATATGGAACATTTTACTTCAGTTCTAAGTTATGAAGGTTAAAATATGCTATGCTCAGTAATGGATAGCTTATGGAAAGTGTTATCTTTAATATTTCCAACAGTTTTTCTGGAGTTTTATGGTTTTTTCCTTTTTGTCAAAATGTTATGGCTCAAAAAATTTACAACTAAAGTTTATGGGGAAAAAATCCATGTAATTGCTATTGATTTTATTCATATTCAATCAAGATAAATATGAATCTGTTTGGGAATGTTCAGGAAATACAGTGACCAGAACAAAATCAAAAGGAGAAATATTTTACTTTCAAAGGCTTTATTGTAAATTCCTGCTTCTATCCACCAAATTATTTTCATCCGTTATCACAGTTATCGCATCTTTATTTTCATTCTTTTTGAAGACAACTGGGGTTCATATTTTACTTGTACTTCTTTTTATCTTCTTCATACCCATGGTACCTAACTAAAAATGAACATTGCAATATTTTTTTTTTTTTTAATTCACGTCCTGCATCCAATCCCAAAAGAATTCAAGTTCAGTGTGTTGAAAATATGTCTTTCAACAGGGCACAGGTACCTCAAAAGCATAGTTATAGTTAATAAGCACTACATCTTGATTGTAAACTTTCTGCAATCACTTACACATGTAAAGATTTGATGCAAAAGTAACTTCTGCCTAAAAAATGCACGTAAACACAAACGCATGGAAATGCAAATATGCTTTCATAAAGTTACATCCTAAGACTTCCTTGCACCAATATATTAGACTCTAACACCTAATAGTAACATTTCCCCCACTGTACTGTTATTCCACTCTGAACACTTTATGAGTCTTCCTGTCATGCGCCCCAGCCTGCCTTCCATTTGAAGCTAACACAATACTTGGCTCTGTCTAGGGGCAACTTTAGACCAGAGTTTATAGAAGTAATGGAAAGTAGCCTCAACTTTCAGAGTACAGAGAAGAATGCTTTATGCTGCCATTCACTGACTAAATACTATACCACCTGGGGAAGGGCAAGCTGGGGGTGTCTCTGAGGAAGGGGTGAAACTGTGTAAAAGATGAACAGTTCATACTCTACTTACAATGATGTGTCGGCTTAATACTAAGGATAAGGTAATTCTTGGTGAGTAGATGCTGAAAGAAAGGATGAGCAAATAAATACATGAATGGATAGCTGAAGAACTAAGTAATGAAAAAGAAAAGAAGGAGAGACCTTGTCTATTCAGCTTTAACTTCTATGGTCTAGTTACTTCAGCTGCCTAGTGAGGGCATTAGAAACTGTTTAGATTCTCTTCCTTCTCAAAAAATAAAAATAAAAAGTTTCTATATTCTTCACATCACTCTGTGAATAGAAAGGTGGAGGCCTATTCCCTAGGGGAAGGCAAGTATCCAGATTGTAATTAAAAGCCCTTGTGGCAAGATGGGGGGGGAGTGCCGAATAAAGTATTTGCTGCAAACTTTTTAATATTGGGGTAGCTTATGAAAATATTGTTTCAACACAAAAATAAATAAAATTTATATTACTTCTACTTCTGACATAATGAAGCAGATCTATGTGCCTTCATATGAAACACTATCCAAAATAAATTATACATGGAAATAAATAAGATTCAGAAGCAAGACTATTGAATGCTGTCAGTGAGGTAATGTGAGCGTCTAGAACATCTCCAGGATACATGGTACACCGGTAATGGTGCTGCCTTCAAAGATGGGGATAGAAGGCTAGGAGAAAGTTTAGGAGAAAACTTGACTTTGCACTGAATTGTTACAATTCTTGAGTTTTATATAATGTGCATACATTGCTTATCTATAAACTGTTTTATGAACTATTTTTAAAGAGACACAAAATATATTGAATATATAAAACAAAAAACTAAAAATTTTAATCACCAATGGAGTTCTATTTTAAATAGAGCAATGCAGTCTGTAATGTATGTCTATAGCAGACCAAGAATACTGGGCCAAAAGAAATTAAGGGATATGGTGTTGCTGTATCCATCGTTCTTTTAAAAATGTAACTAATATAGTGGTGGGACAGTTATAAATAAACGCCTTTTAATGAGATGGTACTCAGTGGAGTTCTGCTTCATCCAATTTCACATCTATAACAGTCTCATAAATATCATCATACTGAGCAGCAAGTTGTCAATTGTACACGTGGTTTCCTGGGAGACTAGAAGGATTTACTTTTCTTCAAGAATTGTGGGACTACGTGAAAACACCACTTAACCATAACACTTGACTTTGCCATTGTCTCTAAAGTGGTGGTAACTCTGTTGATCAATATATTAATCCCACTTGGAATGTGATAGTTAATTACGATGAAATGCCTAAGTGCTGACTGAAATGCAAAGTGATCCAGTTCAGGTGATCCAGGAAAAACCAACGTGAAAAACAAGTATCATTTTAAAATTTTATTTGTAGCTTAAAATGTAATGCCATACAATTTTAACAATCACTTAAAAAAGGATTTATATTTGCATAAAACAGAAGCAAAACAGAAAGATATGAAATCAAGTGCCATCTTGCTTCATTTTCAAATCAGTAGAGTGCTAATATACACCTATATACATTGCAAGTATATTATATAAATATACTGTGAGTAATATTGAATCCACGATAAATATCGAGTAGGTTTTTAGGCACACGGCATAGAAAAATGCAGAATCTGCATAATTCTTGAGGGTGCTGAATGACCCATACTTAGGTCATTTTAACACATACATTTTACACAAAATATAGAGCCGTCACGCACATGATTCTCAGTCACCTCTGAATATAACCTTTCATCCCAACATTAGTGCCTTCTTATTCTTTGATACTATGGATCTATACAGCTATTACATAAGAAAATATTTTGCAGTTTTCTTCAACTCATTGCCTAGCAAGGTATCAATGCAACCAAAAAATGCGCACCCTATCAGCCAACATAGTCATGGAAACGGTCTGAGAGGCACCAACTCACAGAACTGCTCATTGTAATACTGAGCGCTACCCTGAAGGCAACCTTACACATCTTCAACTATACCGTTTTGGAACTGCCCATCCTATCACATCCAGAAATTATTAGAAACTGAGGTAACACCTGTTATTATTATTATTAATGTTATTTTTAGAGATAGAAATACTTGAAAAATCACCAAAAGTATTTTTAAAAATTCTGACGAACGTGAACCTCAGTCTTGTGAGCTCTGCCTGCGCCTCTTCCTGTGCACATGTGAACTGAAGAATACAAAGGAATACTCTAGCTGAATTTATATCCACTGTTAGGGTTCAACATCACAGCCATGGAACACCTGAGGTCGCCCTCTGTTAAGTGAAGCTTAGAAAGCTTCTCGTGGCGAAGCCAATGTTCCACTGATGAAAAGGAACCAAATTAAACCACGATTCCACCCCCCTCCCAACTACAAGTCAGACTCTGGCATATCTGGCATATCTGCCATCAAATACCCGATTCCATATCGCCCGTTGGGAGCAGTATCCAGAGTCGGTGATCCACTCTGTTTCCGATAAATGTTTTTACCGAAATTTGGAGATGACATCTCGCTTGGTATCTTCCCATGAATGAGGCTTGCATCATCTCCCTCTAAGTATACAGGCTCCTTTAGCGCCCTTCCTCTCTTATAGGTCACAGAGGCTAAGTTACCGGAACTATCACCTATGAGGTTGCAGTGACGGATGATGAAGACAACCGGGAGGGGGAGTAGTGCTAGGACCATCAGGGAGATGCAGACAGCCAATGCCCATGTTGGATAGCGCAGAAACTCCTCAGATGCCTGTTAAAGCCAAAAATACATGTAAATCACCTGTTTTTCCCTGAAAGTATTGGGGGAAAAGATTATGTTTGTCTCAGGTTCGGAAGCAAAGAATCTGAGCTGGTCTTGTGACTTGCTATGCCCAAAAGAATGACGTGGAAGTGACATTAAGCAACTTCCAGGCTAAGCCTCAAAGGCTTCACGATTTCTACTTCTGTTTCACAGAATGGTGCCCGGAGTCCTATTGGTTGGAAGAAGCCAAGACTGAAAAACTACAGAGACACCGGCTCTCCAAGTTTGATCAACTGCACGAGTTAGCTCAGGCAAGGCCAAGAAGAAAGATCACCCAGCTCACCCGTAACACCCCAAAAATAATAATCAGCATTTCTTTCAATCATGACATTGTGGAGTAATTTGTTATTAAGCAATAGATACCTGTCACATGTGCCATATTAATTTTCTAAAATCTACATTTTGAAGCACTCTGGGGTTTTGATAAGGGATAACAAACTTGAATGTAGTTGTTACCACATAGAATCATTGACCATAAAATAAAAGTCAGAGATACCTCTGAGGAATAAGCATTCTAACTTTATAATGTCTCATATATATCTTACGGTTGCATGATTATAGTGGTGTGCCTGACAACAGAATTGACATAGTCGTAGCTAATATGAAATAGTTACAACAAAACCCTACTTTGATAGTTACCTAAATTACATCTCCATGGCTAGTGTATATTGTCCTTATTATATAGTATCTGGGATACGATTTAATAAATTTATGTAGAAAAAAATCTCTGGTGATTTGAGCAGCATGTTTTCTAGTTAAAGGCTGGATAATAACTGTGAGAACCAAGTTAGTATTTCAGATGTATTTTAAAAATCTACAATGTATTTTTAAAAACCATATATTTTGGGGAACAAACAAAACAAAAATCCCAGCATCCTTGCATCAGAATAACACCACTCATTAAACAGCAAAATACACTGTGAAGAAAGCAAAAGACAGAAAATTCTTTATATTGTATTTTACCTTATCTTTGACCCATGCATCATAGCCAGGAGAATGTAAGACCATATTCACACCAGTAGCCAGTAGCAGTGATAACAGCATTAGAGGAGAAATATATTTCCACATATAGTAGAAATATCTGTTGGGAGCAAAGCCCATCATATCTGTTAAGTCCTCCATAAACCTAAATAAAAAAGAAAGTCATTATTCCTCAAGTTTATGTAATATCTTATACATGTGCATGAGAACAATGATTTGACAAAGGTTTAGACATGATACCACCTGGCATTTTATACTGAATCTAAAAGGCATACTGGAAGATGACTTAAAAATTAAGAACATTTTTAAAGTAAATGGAACCAGTTCATTACATACTGTAATTTTTATGTAGCTAAAGCACTCTTACACCAGTTACTGAAAAGTCTCCTCCCACAGATGACTTTCTACTTTAGAAAAACAGTGTCTGCAATGCTACATTATCGCATTTCAACACAATGCAGGTTAGAGCTTGCGGGGCGCCTGATAAGAGTGCAGACATGGCTGGTTTTGAAATAAGGTCTAAGCTGAAGTCCTGGCTCTACAACAAACACACTCCGTCCTCCTGTACGAGCAGGACCAGTTTCCACGTGTGATAAGAGTGCGATTAGTTACCACAGAGGATTGCTATGAGGATTAAGAATGAACGCATGCCAGACAGCTATTGCTACTCTATCGAGTAGGTGATTATAAAATGGAAGTTTCCCTGCTTTTCCTTATCTGGGGCTTTTGACAGTAACAAAAACATTCTCTAAGCTTTGTCATCAAGCTCATTCAATGCCACTTATGTTCCTCTCTGTGTTGTGTAAGAGGGCTCTGGTCTTCATTCAGCACACTCATTCCTGCTTTGCACAGACCTCTAATAGCTCAATGACCTATTGTCTGAGTCCATACAGGTTCACTAAAGAACACAACTTCACAAAATACTGCACAGGGCCGCCAGTGACATTTTTCTTCTGAGATTACTCTGGCTTCATTTCACAGCAAGCATGTGTACTTTTCACATGAAGCAGATGTATAATTCAGAGGTTCAAGGCATCTAGTGAATTCAAGGAATGAATCCATATCAATATGAAGTTTGGGTATAGCAAATACCACATATAGTTCAGAGCAGGACATCTACTTTCCCAGCACTGGCCTGATCCATAAGGCAGTATGTAGCATAATAAAATAAGGCATTATGTGGCATAAAATAAAATTCCTCTCATAAACCAGGTTAGCGAGCTAATTTGGAGCATAGGCTTTAGAGTTAAGTGGAGATTCACCAAGACTCCCAGGTCTGCCTCTGTGCAGGGGAGATGACAAGTCACTTGGTGTCTCACTAAGTCTGAGTTTTATCATCTGTGAAATGTAGATAAACAACAAGTTTCATGGAACATAGCCAACATTTACTATTGGAAGTTACGATTTGATAACCAGAATTAAACCAAAGCTCCAGAATCCTAGACTATATTACCATCCATACAATTCCATTTAATTACCTAATAAGAAAATACACTTTATTAAAATTGTTGAATAAAGAAGAGCCTTCTAAAGATTTCATTTTGTGGCATTTTTTTCCCTCTAGTCATTCCCCTCCTCTTCTAAATGAGATGGATAATGACAATTGGTGTTTCCAAAATAGAGCTTAAAATATACTTACTTATCTATACCATAGATGAAGGATACAGCAATATTCTCTAAAATGACTACAATTAGAAGAGGCAGTGTAGCAGAATAATCATCAAACATCGTAACAAAGTAATTTCCAGAGTGTTGCACAAATACCAGGCCAATACAAAATGCCAGAAGACAACAGATAACTGGATAAAAGGAATAAATAAAAAAATTAAGCCTTTATTCAGAATCAAGTATTTTAAACTGTATTATGAATTTTTATATTCAAATGATCATTTTGTGTTCACTTTTATAATTTGTCATTGATATAAATAGGACATACCTTTCCTGATACTGTGGAGTGTTACATATTGGGAGTTAGTTACCTGGATTTAGCACAGATTTAATATAAGTTTATTGTAAGACAATAACACATCTCCCCACAGTCTGTCTAAACTGACTTACCAAGCACAATTAATAAATGAGGTAAAACTGGGAAGATTTTAAAAGTATAAATCTCCATGCCTTTCTTTTTTTTATTAATAGCAAAGTGACCTTTTTAGGCAGCAAATTTTCATAGGTCATTTCTACTTGTAAAATTGTTTTATAGTTTTGGAAGCTCTACTGAATTTTTACATTAATAAAGAGTAATACAGCTTATAATAAGATTAAAATAAAGTATATATTTATATTTGATTGAAATATGGTTATTTTTAAAGCATAACAGAAGCAAATCTGATCAGACCTTGCCTTAGCACCAACCCAAAGCTATATCTTGATATTGCTTGAACAGATTAGTCGGGAATACCGTTAATGACAGGATTGGTCAATCTGATTATCCAACTAAGAAGGACCATCTAAAAGGAGTTTCTGCAGTAGGATCTAAGATATAGACACATCTGACCATTAAAATAAAAATTTAGATAAATTTCTGAAATGCTTATAATATTCCCATAGTTTTTGTTAGACTCTTTCTTCTCTCATGAACATTAATAGAGAAACCCTCAAAAATAAAAAAAAATGGCTGCGTTCTGGTTCTCAACCACCTTTTAGCAGGTGAGAATCCACGGGTTCGAAGATGGGGTTTCCTTAGGAATCTCAGTAGCTATGGGTCACATTAGGTCATGACCACTATCTCTTAAGCACTGTTAGTGTTATGACTTACATTGCACATAAACAAATAAGTAGAAACATATAAGTAGAAAAGGAAGAGTAACATGTACTATACTTGAGGTCTATCACATATTGAAATGCTGAAACGCCTGTCACATGGTACTTAAAGTCTCAGGATGGAGTAGCAGAGTTTAAATAGGAACCACAGTAGGTGTTACTTTCACTGCTTCCTAATTACCTCACAGTATGAGGTAAATGTGAAGAAAGTGTATTCTGAGTGGTACAGACAGAGTTTTGCTGGAGATGGGAGAGGAAAAGATAAGTTGTCATTCCTTACCTAAGTCCTGCTGTTCCATCAGGGAAGATAAAAATGCATCTGACAAAGTTGATGGAGGAACAATTTCATCAGGGTAAAATGCAACTTGAATTGCAGGTCTGATTCCAAAGACAAGTAATGGGGGAAGAGAGTACATTCCCCTTTGCCCTGACCAAACAGGTAGGAGGCAGGGAACACTGCCTGGTGTGTTTTTCCCTCTACACTGTTGCTTTTTCCTTGATTGTGCAAACCTTCTTACCTCGGGGGTTTTAGACATGAGGCAAAGATGAGGAGAGCAGCAAGGAAGACTGTTATTTAGCCTGCACATCAGGCAGGACACTGAAAGCCTTAAATGAAATAGAAACTGAAGAAGTAGAGATTGCCTCTTGGGAGAAGATAAAGAAGTTTCTCATTTATGTTCAGCTGAGTTGAGGATATTTAGTATCAATATTTAACAAACTGCGGACATTGTTTTACACACACACACACTTAGCAGAGTGATAAAGGTGTATAGTTGAGAGTTATTTACACATAAATGATCACTAAATCTGTAAGAGCTCAAAACGAAGCCTCGAGGGGAGCTTGTGCACCGCTCCCCAGCATTCAGGATCACCCGCATATTTTTTTATCCCATTTATTTTTGCATTGCTTACCACCACTGTTCCTGACTCTGGTCTGGTTGGTTTCCTTACTGCTCTCTTTATGTCTATTTATACTGAAGCTATCCTGACCTGTAAGAAGACATCTCCTCTTTCAGATTCAACTTCCATCTCTTTCATTGTCAGTTCAATCACATATTTGGATAACTTTTGTTTCTTCTTAATTCGTATAACATGTCAAGTCTCTATTGTGCTATCTATCAGTATATTACATGGTACAAGTCTTTAATCTACCTGATGTGATTTTGATGATCAGTACTATTATTTTTGGAGGAGGGGCTCTCTTATAGCTTTGTTTCTCTGTTTTGATTTCTCTTATATCTTTTATGTCCCTCAAATGCACTACAAAACTGGTACTTTAACAAATGCTTGCAGATTGGACTTATTCACAAGCATCAATATTGATATGTTGTTTTATTTACTTTCCTACCTAGAGATATTAACTACTAGTAGACAACAATTGCTATTTTATATGAGAAGTAAATTTAGATTTATCAATTTCAGCTAAGCACTTCTTGGAAAAGGAATATTGGATCTGAGCTACCTTGTTGTAATTAATTATTTGACATATACAAATTTATACATGAACACTCTATGGCTTTATTCTAGTGCCATTAATTCAAGATGGCATTATCATTAATAAAGAGCAATATAGTAATCACCAATAATACATATTAAATTCGTCATTTGCATATTATATAACTATATATATAAAATAGCAGATAACAGCAATACATATTCATAAATAAGTATTAACAAAACCCCAAATATAACACTTTCCTATTTCCACTTCTGATGTCTCACCAAGAGTAAAATGGCCCATATCAGTCAATGGAAAGTCAAATACGGAAGAACTCACTAGTAGCAATTTCTTTCTTCACTTTCAGAGTTTCCACAGCAGGGGTTATGATCCCTTCCACAGTTCCAAACATGCTGCCTAGCCCCAGGTTTATCAGCATGAGGAAGAACATCACCGACCAGAAGGGAGATGCAGGGAAATGGGTCATCGCTTCTGTAAAGGTAATAAAAGCTAAACCAGTTCCCTGAACAGCCTGTAAAATATATGGAGTAGCAACATGAATACAGAGCAAGTCCGAGTGGTGGCTATAAGCATCAGTGACAAGGGCAAAGAACTCTGCACGGTGCCTGGGAGCGATTGGAAACGAACACGCGGAATCATGGTGTCGCCTAAGAAACCGTGCCTTTCAACTCACTTCAAGTTGATTGTGCTATCTCATAAAGAAAACAAATAAACCAGAATTAAAAAAAAAAAAAAGAAACAACCTTTTAAGAGTAAGATAGCAATTGTCTTCCCTTACAGAATTCAAGATTCTTATATTAATGCTGGCTTTATCCATAATTTCCCGCACATGATTCTTTGTGTTTAGTCTCAGGTATAGTTGGCTCTCTTAAAGCAAGTGATTAACAACTAACTTCTCTAGTATATTTTAGTTTTGGCAATCCAGGGAGAAGGTGAGCAAGACAAGAATATTTATTAATGTTCACCTACTTTATACTTACTAAAATATATTTTACTAGCTAAGAGAAAGAACTTAATCATACCTTGATGAACACAATTATTAAAATGGCCAAAAATCATTCATGTGTCAAATAACCATGAAATATGTAAGTGATAATCACAATAAACTTTTCTATTCAATATAATACCAGGAAAGGTATAGGACTCATTTCATTTTATATGATAGAAATCACTTAGTTTATATTCATATTTTAAATTACTCAGGATTAATCAATGAATTGCTTTCCAATGTAAAGCAAACCTTTAATGATTTAAGAAAATTGTTCTCTGAAATAACAAATGTGAATCTGAAAATAGCATAATGTACAACAGGCATTTAAAAGGTCATTTTTCTAACAAACAAATATTCTGGGGAATGAGTATTTTAACTGAATGGTACTACTTGGTTGCTTAAACACAGCCTACTAACTTTATTTAGTTCATCTTCAATGTTACATGGATCAAGATGAAGACCAGAAAACTCTTCTTGTTTCACGTGTTTAATGATCTCATATATTATGCGATAATCCTCTGCAGTAACAGCTGAAAAGTTGATGTACTGGGGAATAAAAGCCTCACTAATGTTGCCCATTTTCATAAATGTTGCAATCATTTTCGAATTTCTGAAAAGCAGAACAATATGTTAATGAACACTTAAGAGTTTGGAGGTATATTTTTTATATAAATATGCCATCAAAAACTAAACAAAGTTAATATACATACTGTGCAATGCATTTCTCATTCATGACATTTGCTTTGAAGCCCAGAACTGCAAACACCACCAATGTTGCCAAGATAGAAGTGAAAAAATTGATGAGAGACACGAGCACAGCATCAAATTGGCAGTTGTTATCTCTCTTGTTGTAGCTTGAAAAGGCGATGACGCCACCAAACCCCAGGCCAAGGGCGAAGAACACCTGAGTAGCAGCTTCCCTCCAGATTTGAGGCTCCAGAATTATTTCAAGCTGTTTAAAATTAAACATAACAGGAGTCAGCTGCAAAATAATATTTCAGAATAATCTACATGGAATTAGTCGTATTGTTGAAATACATCATCATAATATATATGCACCCAAAGGTTATTTAAATCAGGGGGATAATCTGTTCCTAAGTAGAAATAAATTTGTCATTTGAAAATGAAACAAGGAATATGAATAAGAAATACTGCAGACTATTAAATTTTCAGATGGAGATTTTATGTGAGATTTCCTACCTATATGGAATTTTTAAATATCTTTAAGACAAATAATCAAAGAACTATTTAAAAGAGAAGTGAACTATTTTAAAATATTTTATATTTATGTATTTGTTTTCTTTCCAAAGCAAAAAAATCAATTATCAAATAAGTTAAATAATTACTTAATACCCTATGTTTTGTGTTTTCTGGTGGAAGTCTAATAGTGAAAGCAGACAATAATTATAAGCATAGTGTAGTTAAACTATTTGTACTTTGCATTAATTAATTGCATTATTAATTTACATATTATTCATTCATTCATTCAGACTTTCCTGAAAGTCTTTTCTTTCAAAATTAGATAAATGCAGCTACAAGGATTAGCAAACATAGGTTTATAGTTGTAAGTATGCAAAACAGTTTATTTTTGCATTATTACTTATTAATTATTGTGTTATTTATTTGTATTACTTGTCATTATTATTGCTATTATTGTATATCCTTACTCATGATTTATCTTTTAGGTAATGATGGCTGGTAATTTAAACCTGTGTTTGCCCACCCCTCTATATCATTTCATAGACCTCAGATCCAAAGGTCTAAAGTTCTGCACTGAACATATATTTCAAGTAGTTCTGCTTTACTTCTTAGACAATTATCAAACCTTTTAAATGGAACAATTAATATTAGCCATATATGACAGAGACCACAATAAACAGTTAAGTTTGAATTCAGTAACAGTAGTGTTTAAACTGTCGTTTTATCTCATATACACACACACACACACACACACACACACACACCCCATTGTAACTGCCTTTACTGGGATCTGTCAAACATAGGCAAGAACATGAGTTTCACAGGCAGTTTCAGATCTTGATTCTTCTACTTAATAATCTAAATACAAATAGTGTGACCTAGGGTAAGTGTCCTGTCCTCTCCGTTTCTGCTCCCTCAATAAGTGCTCAAAAATGGCTAACATATATTGACAACAGGGGCAGGCACACTGGTAAGAACTTTATATAGATTATCTAATTGAATCTTCACAATAATCCATGAAATTGTTGCTGCTATTATCGAAATCTTAGAAAGGTTCAGTGACCTGCCTAAGGTTACACAGTAGTTCTGGGGCGGAGCTGAAATGTGAACACAGGTAGGTGACAAAACCCATGGTTCTCTCAAATATTAGAATGTATTATTCAATTCATTTTAGTTACTATTATTTAAATGTTTACATTGTTTAATTATACAATAATTAATTACATTTGTAATGTATGTACAATAACTAAGATATGAATATTGTTGATTGACCACAATCTATTCTATGGTTAACGCTGATCTACTAACATCCGACAATCAACTGTCTATCTCTACTTTGCCCACTAGATGGCAGAAGGCCCCTATTTACTAAGGACATTATTCAGATTACTGTACTTCAGGAACTAAATCTCCATTCATGGTTTTGCGAATATGTTGTGTGTTTAGGTACCTTCTCCCTTAAATAAACAATGTAAATTAAAAATAACTAACAACTTCTTATTGTTACTATATCAACTATCACATCCTACAGTGAACTAATACAGAATTGTATCTATAATCAATGAAAAGTAAGCTGAAGAAAGAATTAGCCATATTTTAAGTAATCCATAGACCTGCAGTTTTTAATATAGGGGTTATGTAAAAGTATTATAACAGAGAGTTTAAATTATAAAATACCTATTTAAATAAAATATTTAGAATTATGTCTCAAACAATGGCCCATTTAGACAAAGGTGATTTGCCAGAAATTCATACCAAAGCTAGTTGTTTTAAACTCAGAACACTTCTCTTTTTCAAAATTACAAACATAAATAATCTTGGTCATTAACTATGACCCCTTTGAAGATGATTTATATTACAATATAGCTAAAATTCATTAATCTTAACTAGTTATTCACTGAAGTGTCCCAACAGTGCTAAATGTTAAACAGGACTCAGGAACTATCCCAGAACTCCAGATACCAGTCAATATTTTTGCTACTAGAGAATGAATCCCAAGTTGGAACCAGGTACCCAAAGAACATAGCCTCTTTACACAGTGTCAAGGCAGCTGCCGAAAGTGGCAAAGAATTCCTAAGCTACCATCTCCTGCCCAAATCTCACACCATGATCATTCTTCAGATAACTTCCAAGTTATGACCTAGTTTTGAAATTGCACCTTTATAACTCAATGTCTGCCTATAACAGTGTTATCAAAGTAATTGTGAGGTGTAGCTTCATTGCAGTGGGTAACCAAATAAATATACACCTCAAAACTTGGTTTCCTTTCCTGTCAAATTACAATAACAAGTCCACAAAGACTGATATACGCTCAATTTTTTTAAAGGGACCCATGCCACAAAATGTTAAGAACCACTGAAACAGAGGAGGGCTGGCCTGTGTGGCTCAGTGGATTGAGCATCCTCTCAAGGACGGAGATGTCTCCTGGACTGAGAGGTCCTGGTTCCATTCCCAGGCAGGGCACATGCCCAGGTTGAGGGCTGGATCCCCAGGGGGGGGCGTGCAGGAGGCAGCTGATAGATGTTCTCACATCGATGTTTCTCTCTCTCTTTCCCTTCCTCTTTCTCTAAAAAATAAATAAATAAAAACATATTTAAAAAGAAAGAAATAGAGGAGGAAGAAAAGTAAAGACTGGAAAGCTCTAAAATTTACAAGTACAAAAATTGGAAGTTAATTTAATATAGAAGAGAAAAAATTTAAGTTTAAACTGTGATAGCCTTAATCTAGAACTAAAATGGGACTTTAAAATTGAAGCTAGATGGACATAATAATAGATATATAAACGCTCTGGTTTATCTAGGCTACATAACAGCTATAATTTGAAAGCCTAATGTGTATATATTAGAATAATTATCCCTTAACTAGAACTGTGGTAACATTTTAACAACAGACAATGCTTTCATGATCATAAGCCTTAAATAGAAATACGGTACATACCTTAGGGGAAAACATGTGGCGGATGCCATAAATTGAACCATTTAGAAGGAGTCCTCTGATTAGGAAGCATATAAGTACCACATATGGGTACACAGAACTAAAATACATGACCTGTGAAGAAAAAAATAAAAATAGTGAGACATACTAACAATTATATTCTTTTTTATAGTTCAGATTGTGTTTTTTTCTATACTTTGACAGTTATTGTGTTTATACAATTGATTAATAAAGAGATCAATAAGTTGTATAGCCATCTTAGAATGGCTTATTAGTCTTGACTTAATATGACTTATTTAAGATCTTATTTGAGATGTACTAAAAAATAAGTTTTCTCATTTCATCTCCTTTAAAATAGCCCAGAGATGTCACATAACTTGAATAGTGTCGATTCCTTATAGTTTGTAAAATGAGCAATATTTAAGAGAAATAAATGCGCACTAACTCCCTAACAAATTCCTACTTTATTGTTTTAGGATTTTTTTTAAGTCATTTTTTTCCGTTAACCAATCGTTCATTGTGATTCTGTGTAGCTTCTGGAGTAGAGCATCGTCCCTCTTAAGTCTCCTGTAGAACTTTAACAAATAACTGTGTGAAATAAAGATTTCACTTTCTGCTTCAGCAGTTTTTACCATTAAAGTTAAGCAAGTGCTTTCTATAGAAAAAGAACTGTCCTATCCAGACATTTACTGCCTCCTTGATGCCTCCATGTGGAAGCCTATTAGGTCTCTAAAATGTTTCAGGTCCAGAAGCTCACTTCTCAGTTTCCCCTGGAGCCCTCCCCACTCATCACCTCAGGAAACGGCCTGCCACCCATCCCGCGGCTAAAGTCAAAGGTTCAGGAGCAGTCCTGCACATTTTGTAATATCTTCCTGACTGGTTTTCAGGCTAACCAGAGACCATTTGGATTAGCTCCTTCCCTGCTTAACATACCCCAGGGACTTTGAATACAGTTGGAATAAAATCCCAGTTCCTCCCTCTGACCTGCTGGTGTGATTATTAGGAAGCTTTTTGTTTGGCAGGCAAACAGAGAGCTTTATATTTATTCCTAAGAAATATGTTCCTATTAAAATTAACTAGTTTCACACTGAGGAATTGTGACAATTTAGATGTCCATATCTTTGCTCACATTGCAGCTTTCTCCTCATCTGTGCCCACTGAATTCTTTCTTCAACTATTTGCCCAAAAGCCACTGATGCCTTCTCATTACAAAGATAAAGTGTATGTAGTATATAAGTTGTATTAAATTTTTCTAAAGTTATATTATATGACAAGAGGAGAAGAACCGCAAAATTCTGTGATAAGAAAAGGATGAGTATTTCTTTAAATAATGATAAGACACACTCAGACTAAGAATAAACAAAACGTGGCAGTAAGATTAAAGCACAAAGGTTTTGGGACTTCTCTGGCTAATTACTTTTGGTTCTCTTTCTACCAAAAGACATAATCTTAGGAAACATGTAAATATGGTTAGATGTGACAAGAATCTCTGCCTTTATTTAAAATATGACTACACTGTGTCTCAGAATGATAAAAGACACCAAATGGAACCACAGGTTCGCACTTTAATACTTGCAGTCAACTTACATTTCAAGTTTCATCTCCCAAGAGCTGCACAAATTGTGTGGAAAAGTCACAAAGGGGGACTCAGCAATCCTTGGGCCCTGCACATGCTGTTTTTCATGCAGTCACTGTTCTCTGCCTGAACTTTCTGATGTGCTCCTTCTCAAACACATACTCTAGTCCAAAAGTTACCTGCTCTGTGAAAACTTCCCCCAAATCCATGTTAATTTCAAGTATTACCTCTATGCGATCCTGCATTTTTAAATTTTTTATTTATTGATTTTAAACAGAGGGAAAGAGAAAAAAGACATTGATTTGTTGTTTCACATATATATGCATTCATTGGTTGATTCTCTTTTTTTAAAATTTTTTATTTATTGATTTGAGAGAGAAAGAGTTTTTTGTTTTTCTTCTTATTTATGCATTGATTGGTTGATTTTTGTCTATGCCTTGACAGAAGATTGAACCTACAACCTTGGCATATAAGGACAATGCTCTAACCAACTGAGCTATCCAGCCAGGGCCTATCATGCATTTTTTATATGCCTCTATTACTGCATCAGCTGTAATTATCTGTCTCATCCATGAGGACAAAACTGATGTATAGTTAGATGCTTAAAAATATTGTACAAAATTTCTAGAAAGTTAAGTTTTCCTTTATGCATGCATTCCTTAAAAACTGGGGTGGGGGGAGGGAAGAGATAAATCAAAGAACTAATACGCATGTATGTGTAACCAATGGACATACACAACAATGCTGGGGGGAGAGGAGGCAGGATCGGGAGGAGGGTGCCTATGGGGGGGGGGAGGAGAAGAAACATCTGTAACAAAAATAAATTAATAAAAATTGCAAAAGAAAAAAATAAACTCATCTTTATTCTGAAGTATTTTTAAAATGATGCACTAATCATATCAGAATTATTTCAGATGTGTTATCTACTATATTCCAGCAAGAGGTAAATATAAAATTAGTTGTGATCTAAAAGTTAAAAAATCATCAAACATTTTAAATTAAAGATAAAATAACAGGAAGCAAAGATGAGTTACATAGACTTCTGATCTAAAAGAGTTAACTACATGGTGTGAAAAAATATAACAATGAGAGGAATTACAGTGTTACAATTAAGAACAGGGGCTCTTGATTTAGACAGAACTGGGTTTGACTCCAGGTACTAACAATTACTGGCCACCATTCTTTGGGCAAGTTACCTAATTTCTCAAAATTGTTTTATAGCTCTAAAGCAGGCCTGAGAATAGTAATTACTCTCAGAGTTTTCTTTAGAATTAAATGGGCTAAAGTATCTATCACAGTTCCTAGAGCAAAAGACACACCCAATAAATGTTGGCTTCTGTTATTGTTCCTACTCTGATCATTGTGAGTTGTCTCCACTATCATCATTTATTACTACTACTATCATCTCCATTTCTACTAGTACGTGATGGTGAGTGGTAACACATTAGCCTGGAAAGCTCTATGATCAGATCTGTGCTTTGGAAAGAAAAATAGTAGAAATGGACTGTTAAAGGCAAAGAGAAGAAGAACCAATAATAAAGTCTTGCTGTGGTGCAGACAAGAGATATAAGAATATTAAAATGATAGTAATAATGAAAAATGAAATATGAAGCAAAAGAGTGAATGGCAATTACTTTCCTAATGCATTCTTAAAAAAAAAAAAAAAAAAAAAAAGAAATCAAGGCTTCTACAACTCACTTAAATGTCTTTTTAACCACAGCCTTTAAAATGTTTCCATTTGCCTTGGCAGGTATGCCCTTTAGTCTTGCACATTTAGGCTGAGTTCCTTGTTGAGATTATCATACCTAGCTAATGATGCTCAGATCTTTAAGAAAGCCTCCCCACCAGAGACCATATTAAAATCTTTTCTGCAACTACTCCTTAGAACTATAGGAAAGAAAAATGAATGATATAAGACAAACAAAATGAACAAGTTCTTATTCTACCACTCTCCTCAATTTCCATGTTTGGAATTGTCTGGTAATCAGAGAACTGAAATATTGAGGTAAACTGAATAAATAGAAAGAAAAAAAAAATGGTCTCGCTACCAAGTTTCAAAACTCTTGATGAAATAAGAAAAGATTAAAAAGTACTTTAGATTTCAGTCTAAAACACGTATCTCTTCACTTGTCATTTCCTTAACGTAAACATATTTCAAATGCACCAATCTGTAATGAACTACCTAGAGATGAAGGGCTACTTGCAGTTTGCCCACAGATACTGCAGAATCAGGAGGAGCTCTGCCATACTAACTTTTCCAGAAGTCTGGATGCCTTTCATCATAGCCAAGCAAACTATGACCCAGGCAACCATCAGGCAGATGGTCATCTTCCAGTTTAAGCCCCCACTTTCAGAAATGGAACTGGAGATATTCAGTGTTTCTCTGTACCAATAATAGGTGGTGGCAGAAGATTTTTCACATTCTGGCTCTACAACTGTAGAAAGAAAGGTAACATGAAAGTTTGCATGGTGATGGGATCACTAGAATTTGTGGAGTTATTACATTGTAACACAAGCATGTTAGACCATAAAGAGAAATGAGAACATTTTTTCCCAGTAAGCCTATTAATCAACTCTCAACCGTCTCCTAGAAAAGTATTACTATTCTACAGAATTTTATTCTGTCATTTTTCATCATAAAAACTCAACTGCAAAAATGTGACATATCAACAGATATGCCTCCTCTTTGATATTTCTTATTACACAGTTATTAATAAAAACCTGAGCTTTTTATCAAAGTAATCAAAACATATCAAATTTATAGTCCCTTCCACTCCCAGAATTATCTTCCTGAGACACAGCAGCTGGACATGCCCGACTTTCACAATAAGCTAGTCCAAAATAGCATATGCTGTAATACAAAACACAAAGGCAATTTTGGAGACTTAGTATGAGAAAAATAATGCAAATTATTACATTAATAATTTTTACATTAATTATATGTTAAAATGTTCACATTTTGGATATATAGGATTAAATAAACTATTTCACTGGTTTCTTTTTTTAAATGTGGCTACTAGTAAATTTTAGAGCCCGGCCAGTGTTGCTCAGTGGTTGAGCATCGACCCATGCACCAAGAGGTTCGATTCCTGGTCAGGACACATGCCCAGTTGTAGGCCCAGTCCCCAATGGAGGCATGCAGGAGGCGGCCAATCAATGTTCTCTCTCATCGATGTTTTTAACTCTCCTTCTCCCTTCCTCTCTCTCTAAAAAAAAAATCAATAAAAAAAAAAATTTTAAAAAAGAAAAGTTTAGACATATTCTATATTTACTGGACATCACTATAGGAAAATGTTCTTTCTTTATACTCTAGGACATAAAAATGAATGATAGAAAAACTATGAAACAATGAACTGAATACATAAAAACAATTAGTTCCATCTAAACTCTTTATTTTGTCCTTTGCTTTAACAAAAACTATACAGCATCAACAGAGGTGTGCAAAATTATAGACTGTCAAAGTTAACCATTGAAGGCTGATAATATTTCACCCTAATATCATGGGGCACAAAAAATAGCTTGGGAAGGAGAATATCATCAATAATACTATGAAAAGTTTGCATGGTGATGGGATTACTAGGATTTGTGGAGTTATCACATGGTAACATATAGAGATGTCAAGTCACTATGTTATACACCTGAAACTAATACAACTAATATAATACTGTATACCAACTATACTTAACTAAGGAAAAGTAACTTGGGAAGAACTAGTAAACTTCGATGGTGTCAAAGTGCTCTCTCTCTGAATAGGACAAAGTTGTTATGACAACAGTTTTGAAAGATTTTCCTGAATTACTCTAAAAAATCTTGGAAGCTCATGCCTTTACCAGCTTTATAGTCATTAAATATGAAAGCATTATATTGGCCATGTCTTACAAGTATGTGATGCATTTTTCGCCAAAGGACACTCTTCCCAAGGTAGAGGATACTGAAAAGAATTAGAAAAATAAAGCAAACTCCAGCTAATGATGACATTGTAGTAGAGGGCCACAAAAAAGCACACCTGCAAAATAAAATAATACGATTACATTCAACCTCTCATGCCCCTTCCTCTGAAACAATGAGATGATGTGTACACGACCCCATTTAACATTTCAAAAATCTGACTCATTTTATTTTCATTTACAACACATTAGCTTTTCCAAAGACCGATCTCTCATAGATCTTAAGAACATGCATTAACAAGACTGAATTATTTCATCTAGTCCAGCTAGTTTTGTATATTAGTGCAAGCTCCTATAGTGTTTTTTTAAAGATGATTAAAGAGTTGAGTAGAAATACACACTCAAAAGATGTATTTAAATATAAACAATATAAATCCAAACCTTGTAAAAGTTATATGACATATACCACATCAGGAAACTTACTACACAACTTGCAAATCCAACACCACCCAGTTTAGGGCTAATGTAATTCCAGACACCAATGCTTCCACGCCGAATTCTTTGACCCACAGCAAGTTCCAGGAAAAATAGTGGAATACCTATTACCATAAGCAGGGCTAAGTATGGCAAAATATATGCACCTACAGAGACAAGAACAAGTAAAATAGATCACATTTTATCAACAGTCACAGTAGAGAATACACTCATTCTGATGATCTCATAAAAGATGATATTTGAACTTCTATATAATATATGGATAAAGGACTTTAAAGAAGAGGCAATTTTATTACCTCCAACTTTCTAGTATTTGAAACCTCAATGTGGCTGCTACAAGAAGTTTCTGGCAGAAAAATAATAATTATGATAAAAGTAAGACTATCAATAAATAGTTTGGGTTTCATTTCATTGAAAGGGTAAACAACTTCATTTTCCATAAAAATAATTGGTTCCTAAAAATTAATTATTTTCTCAAGTAGGTCTCACAATCTCATGAAATATTATTCACATAATATTTGTGAAGTCAATTATTAAATTGTATTCAAATTCATCTATTGATATAAATCTGATATATTACATATATATACATCATATATTACAAATCTGATAAATTAAAATGAATGAGGTTTTATGTGCTGACACTGACATTTCCCCCCCCCTAAATAAAAACAGGGCAGAAGAAATGGCTGCTCTGACTAAAAAATAAAATAACCTCTATCTCAGACAAATGTCATTTTTCCCATATAAGCTTCACATAAACAGTACACTTTAGGAAACAGGCAATTTTTTGTTTCCCCAAATTTTGTGATGGGGTGGTGATATTGACAGAAGCAAAGATATTTCATCAGATCTATTATAAAATATGTGCTATTATCCTTGTAGTAAAATTTCCATGCTTAAAAAAACATTTTACAGCTAAACATCAAATTAAGATGTATGATGTGATTTTTAAAAGTACTATTTGACAATGTTAATGTTAGACTATTAATTGATAAAATTAAATGTGAAACCTATATGCATTTCTACATGAGAATATGTATACAAATCATTAATTAAATAACCTCTAAGAACTAGATTCACATTTCTTATTGGAGTTTTGTACAACCAGATACTGTCAAGTGGGTTATGCAATCAATGGTACTAATTCCCTTTTTATAAGAGGCCATTTATTATATTTTACCATTTTTAAAAAGTAGTAAGTGTTATTGAATAGATTTTGAAAGTGAAATTGGGAATTCTGCAGAAGAGTTAAATATTAATTTTTTTTCAAATTATTTCTCTCAGTATCTACCTATCACTGAAATAATGCCTTATGGCTGATTTTCAGTCGTTCAGACTTGAATTGATTCTACAAAGGGGCATATAATGTAAAGCATGGATGAATGAGCTTATAAAACAGAACTACCAAATTTCTAATTCTAAAATGATTTGGAACATTCAGCACTAATGACCTGCAAATGCTTCCCAAAGAACTGAAAGTGTATTTTAATACTTGCATGAAATCCTAGAATGTGAGTGGGTTTGTGTGTGTGTGACTGGGGGTGGGGGGGGAGAGGGAGAATTAATCAAGACTGGACTAATTGGAAATCTTTCCTCAGTTATGTATATATGACATGCTATTAGATACTTATCCTTTTCCTCTAACTCCAATTACTCTAACGTGAGTCTCCATATTAAAAATATGGCTAAAATATAACTGACTATTTACCACTTCTCAGGTACATTTCTAAGCCTGCTGCATGTACTTGGTTACTCATTTATTCCTTACAAGAATCCAGTGGCGTAAGTACCATTATTATCCTCATTTTATAGGTGTGGGAAGTAAGCCAGTAAAAGAAAGTTAACTGGTAAAAGATCACATGACTAGTGTCCCAATAAGCCAGGCTTCGTAGTCAAATCAATTTCAAAATCTGAGCTGGTAGCTTCTGTCTTTGTTATACCACTTATTAAGCTTAACCATTGTGCTTTAAGTAGATTATCTTCAGACAAATCAACTTATATTAGGTTCATTACTATTCATTTGCATTATTCATAATGCTCCTCAAAGGATGAATAAGTAAGATTTAAGTAGTGAGGCTCACTGACTCGAATACGTCGAAGGCTCAGTGCTATACTGCACGTTGAGTACAAACATCTGTACTCTGACAACCATCTTGAAATGACCGAAGCCCACTGGTATTTTGTAATATCACTCTCCAGTATTTGTGGAAGAAAGAAAACAACGTTAGGAAGGGCATTTTGACTCCTTTCCCATGAAAATTAGAAAGGGGAGCCACTTTTGCTAATTACTAAATATGAATTTCTTTAGAGCTCTCCATCAAGGCAAAAATTTTATTAAACGGACAGCAACCTGGCTCTTCAGACAAGACAACCTTCTTCCAAACAGTGTGGACAACACAGCTTCTAGGGTGAGAAATATGGGGATCATATTTCATCTTCTCAAAGTCCTGGCAAATGAAATGATTTGTTAGAAACAAAGAGCAGGGTAGTACACAGCTGCTTATAGTTGATTTGATAAATAATTCGTGTGTGATGTCGCAACTAGCTAAGGAGCTAACAATTTCCGTGGAATGACGTGTATAGTGCATCACCAATTTGTTAGATTCCTACCTCTCAGGAAGATTTGTCAAACAGGTTAATTTTTTCAAACCTGCTATTTTGTGTCTGGTTGAATAAACTAAGCAAAATTTTAAATATATTCTGTCACCATAACACGTTTATCTTTTTATCTTAGCGGCCAGAAGAAATTCTACATTGAATGGTTATATTTATTTCATTTGATTTGTAGGTTACAACTACATCAAAAATAAAACCATATTTTTTGTCCAGTCAACAAAACTATCACAAACTGGAATCAAATACCAAACTATTCTGTCTATCCTTTGGGTACTAAAGTGAGGTGTATAGACTAGTTTTTAACCGCACTTATTTTAACGACTTCAATGTATATAAATGATAAAGCTTTAAACCAAATGTTAGTTGACTTAACATTCAATTTGACTTTGGTGTACTATAAAAATGATATCCTACATAAACAATCTATTCCTTTGTATGTGTTTTTCCCCCTTAATTTTAAAGAAATGTTTGCTAAATAACCTATGGTAATTATATTCACAAATACAAAAAAAACTACAATATCATGTTGATGTAGATATTTTTGTTTAAAACTAAAGATTCTAATTTCTTTAAAGTTTAAAACAAAAACATTGCCCCCAAATACTACAGAACTGGGAACCAAATACGTATGCTATCTAAGCCTGGTATTATATTAATTATCCCATTAAACCCTCTCTGCTAAAATCTACAAAGTTCTGGTCAGCATTTGAAGACTATAATCATTCTAAATTATATGTAATTTCTACTTTTTTGAAGAGTAAAACAACTTGAAATTCAGAATCAATAAGTCGTACACAGAAAATTCTGTCTTTCTTCGCCAATAATGTCTTATACCAGAAACTTTAGTTTTTTCTCCAAAGAGAAAAAAACTGCAGGTACAAGGATGCAACATTGGTTAGAAAAGTCAGTCACTTAGAGATGTTAATAGCATCCAAGGAAAGAACCTGAAATGTATTACCCCTAAAGCAATCCTTGTATATTCATAGCAAGCCATCTGCTCCTATGGAAACCTATTCTGAAAACAGAGTTAAGCTCACTTTCAACAAATGAGTCTCCCTAATTTTATAATAAAATCCATAGTTTCTAAAATAATGTGACTCCAGCAACAACAACAGCTATTTGAGATAATCAACTGAAATTTACTCAGCACTGTATCACTTAAAACAATAAAACTTACCGCCCCCATTCTTCTGACATAGGTATGGGAATCGCCAAATATTCCCTAAACCTACAGAAAATCCAACTTGGGCCAGGATGTATTGTAGCTTACTGTTCCAAGAGGGTCTTTTATCTTCAACTTCAGATCCTTCTTCAGCATCTGTATCTTTCTCTTCTTGGACATCAACAATTAGCTCACTTTTCTTAAAAGCATCATCAGCTGAATCTTCATTGGAAAGAAGGTCTTTGACAGATTCAATAACTTCATCATCTAATTCTCTTTTTACAACCTTGCTATTCTTAGGCATTGGAAAGTGCAGGTTGTATTATTTTTTTTTAATTCCCTTATGGCAAATTTCTTAATTCTTTGTAAAAATAATTTAGTTGATATGAAGAAAAGACAGATGAGGATATCAAATAAATCCTTGATTCAAGGTGATAAAGTCTTATGGATCCTGGATATGTGAGTCCAATATTCTGTAGGTATCTGCAAAATATTAAAAGTGACATTTAATGAGAAAAATATTAAAAATACTAAACACCCTTTCTTATTAATTTTTGTGATAGAACCTCTTTCTACAGAGTATGAAACGTGATTATATGCCTTTTGGAGCTTAACATTTTCACAAGAATTGTAACGTACACATGAGCTTCCCACAGTTTCTTTTAGCTAACTTCTTCCCTCTTCCAAAATTTCACTTTGATCTGACATACTCCAGTGCATAATGTATACTCTGCTTATTAGTAATTAAATATTTATGACTACTTTTCTTAATTTTTCTTTTTTTCCTTTCTGACATAAGTACAGCCCTCATTTTATTACTTATAGAATCACATATACAATTGCATGCCATCCCTGTTAATTTCCCTGACACAAAATCTCTTCTGTTCATGTATCATCTATTCACTCATTTGATGTTCCCTGTAATGAGACCTTACAGGATATAAACATTAGTGAAACATACACTACCGGCTATAAGTTGCTTATATCCAAGAGAGAAAGGCATACCTTGGATAATTACCTATATTGCATAACTTAAATGACCCAGCATCATGGTAACAGAAGAGATCAGGAATGTTGGGTAAAGGTGAAATCAGAGCTGGGCAGAAAGAGAGTGAGACCATGCTCAACACAAAGAACAGCATAAACAGACACAGGAAATGGTAAAAAAAAAAAAAAAAAAAAAAAAATCACAGTGTTTGTGTGAACATTCTCTTCAGCAACTCAAGAAAAGCATTGCCATCCCCTTGGCAGTTTCCTTTTCTCTGGTTTGTTTTCTGTTATATTGTATCTCATATCCGTTTCTCTATTCAGACACAGACCAGTAAATGTACCAGGCTTGTGTACAAACCGACGAGACTATCAATTTTAGAAAGTGACTAAACATGAGTGCTTCTCCTAAGAGCTGGATTAGGAGGGTTTAGAAATGATATCCCAAGACTTCTGCCATTTGTTACTATGAAAAATGAAATCCTTTGATGGAATTGCTGTTATTTTTACATTAGAAGTCAAAGAAGCAGTCCATCATACTTTTAATTTCTAATCTTAATGAATAAGACAGAGTGGAGCGTAACCCAAAGAAAAAATAATTATTTAACTTGACCATATAACCTATTTTTTTTGCCTTTGGGTTTAGATGTTTAGTTGTTTCCAAAACTAGAATATATACCCTAAGAGAAAACACTCATTTACAATCTGGTGAAGATTAATAGGAAGACTGTGAAGGAAATTCTGAAAGTAAATCATTACCAATATTTTGAATAATAGACACATCTCTAGAAAAAGTACAAAACTTCTCAAGTTGACTAAATTGGTCAACAAGGTTTTAATATGGAAATAGTTTTAATTTGCATTATTTACCATTAGAGCTCAATAAATATGAGTTGACTAAATGAATAAATATAACCATTGAAAAATGAAATAAGCTAATTTTCCAAATTATTTTTGCTGGTAAAAACAACCTGATATATAAAAATTGTGATTTGAGCCTGGCTGGTATGGCTCAGTGGCTGAGAATCAACCCATGCACCAAGAGGTCACTGGTTTGATTCCCAGTCATGGCATATGCCCAGGTTGTGGGCTGAATCCCTAGTCGGGGGTTTGCTGGAGGCGGCCATCTAGATAGATGTTTCTATGTTTCTATGTCTCTCTCGCTCTCCCTTCCTCTCTCTCTAAAATCAATAAAGAAAAAATATTTTTAAAAGAAGAAAAGAAATTGTGATTTGTCAAAAGTGTGTTACTGTTGATACTTGTGGGAATAGAAGAAATGAACCAGTAATGTTCAGGAAGAAAGTGAGGTAGAGGGTGATAAAGTACTGATGATACTCTACACGTTACACAGGCCACATAATCAGTATCAAGTAGCTGCACCGCTTCTGCCAAGTTACTACAATCTATTCCTGTGACAGAAACAACTGGGGGACAAGTTATCGCCACCTGTACCTAGGAGTTACATTAGCTGTTCTCATCATTATCTGAAAAGTGCTTTCTATCTATAACTGAGCAACAGACATTCAAGAGCAGGAGTCAACACAATATTGCCAGGAGTCCAATATAAGCCACTGTCTGATTTTGTGAATAAACTTTTACTGGAACAGAGCCATGCCCACACAGTTACAGATTTCCTCTGGCTGGTTGTGTACTGCTGCAGCAGAGTCACCTTGTGTGAACTGCAAAGTCTGAAAATACTGGCTATTGAAAAAAAAATTGACAGTCACTGTTCCAGAAAATAAATCAGAATGAAAGGTGTAGAGTGCCCCAGCTCATTTCACTTGTGTTCTATTTGTATGTCACCAATTTCATTATCAAATAGTATGACGATAAATCTCTCCAAAGAAGATTACTAAGAATAAAAGAGTTTTACATAGAAACAGGGAGACACAAGGGTAGTAGTTGAGAGAGGAAAAAACATAACAAATGTAGAATATATATCAGGAAAGACTACTCCAGAATTTCAAAGATATTACTTACTAAAAAACAATAGGAAAATAAAAAGAGCTCAGAGATTCAACAAATGAAAGATAAGAGTTCCCCTTAGGGGGGGGGGGGAGGTGGAAAGCTCAAGGAAAATACATAGAAAATTAGCAGGAAAAAAATAAATGAGTTAGATGAATATTGCCTACAGGTGAAAAAAAATGGGACAAATCATTATACAAATAAAAGGCATACTAGAAATAATTAAAACTAAAATAAATGATACTGTAACCACATCTAGAAATATGGAGGACAGGCTTAAGAAAACTTCTCAAAAAGAATAAAAAGAGCCCAGCCTGTGTGGCTGAGTGGTTGAGCATCAACCCATGCACCAAGAGGTCGCTGGTTCAAATCCCGGTCAGAGCATATGCCCTGGTTGTAGGCCAAATCCCCAGTGAGGAGCATGTAGGAGTCAGCCAGTCGATGTTCTCTCTCATTGATGTTTCTGTCTCTCCCTCTCCCTTCTTTTCTCTCTGAAATCAACAAAGAAAAAAGTTTTAAAAAATAAAGAATAAAAAGAAACAAATATTTTAATATAATTTAAAGAAAAGTCTAGTGGAAACTTAAGTCCGATAAAGATGATCCAACAAACTCAGAATTGCTATCTCAGGCAAGAGAATAGAATTAATAAAACATAAAATGCTAAATAATAAAATAACAAAGATTTTGCTTAGATTTGTATTTTCTTTTTTCTTAATTTTTTATTTATTTTTTTGTTACAGATATTTCACCTTTTTTACCACATTGGCACCCCCCACCCCACCCCTGCCCCGTCCCCGACTTAGTTGTCCATGTCCATTGGTCATGCATACATGCATATAAGTTCTGTGATTTATCTCTTCTTACCCCCATACCCCCTCTTCTGAGGGATGTCAGTCTGTGCCCTACTTCCATATTTCTGGGTCTACTGTATTCCTCAGACTGTTATGTTCATTATATTCCTTATATAAGTGAGATCATGTGGTATTTGTCTTTTTCTGCTTGGCTTATTTCACTTAGGATAATACTTTCCAGGTTCCTCCATGTCGTCTCAAAGGATAAGAGATCTTTCTTTCTTACCGCTGCATAGTACTCCATTGTGTATATGTACCACTGCTTTTTTATCCATTCGTCTACTGATGGACACTTGGGCTGTTTCTAGATCTTAGCTATTGTAAATAGTGCTGCTATGAACATGGGGGTATATATTTTCTTCCTGATTGGTGTTTCAGGCTTCTTAGGGTATATTCCCAGCAATAGGATCACTGGGTCAAATGGAAGTTCAATTTTTAATTTTTTAAGGTAACACCATATTGTTTTCCATAGTGGCTGCACCAGTCTGCATTCCCACCAGCAGTGTATTAGAGTCCCCTTTTCTCCACACCCTCGCCAACACTTGTCGTTTGATGATTTGTTGATGGCGGCCATTCTGACAGGTGTGAGGTGATACCTTATTGTTGTTTTAATTTGCATCTCTCTGATGATTAGTGATGTTGAGCATCTCTTCATATGTCTCTTGGCCATTTGTATGTCCTATTTGGAGAGGTGTCTATTCAGCTCCTCTGCCCATTTTTTAATTGGGTTCTTTGTCTTCCTTCTGTTGAGTTGTATGAGCACTCTATATATATTGGAAATTAACCCCTTATCTGATACATCATTGGCAATGATGTTCTCCCATACAGTGGGTTGCCTTTCCATTTTGATGATTGTTTCTTTTGCTGTGCAGAAGCTTTTTGGTTTGATGTAGTCCCATGTGTTCATTTTCCTTTGTTTCTGTTGCCTTAGGTGATGTATCAGTGAAAATTCTGCTCCGTGTGATGTCCAAAATTTTGTTGCCTACATTTTCTTCTAGGATTTTTATGGATTCATGGGTCACATTTAAGTCTTTTATCCATTTTGAGTTTATTTTTGTGTATGGTATAAGTTGATGGTCTAGTTTCATTTTTTTGCATGTAGCTGTCCAATTTTCCCAACACCATTTATTAAAGAGGCTCTCTTTACTCCACTGTATGCTCTTGCCACCTTTGTCAAATATTAATTGAGCGTATTGCCTTGTATTTTCAAATAATACAACTACTGTAGAAAGGTCAATACTGAGAAATTACTAGAATAAAGGTCCCTAGAGATTTCAACCAGAAGTGGGACTGGGAAATAAAAAGACGTCTCAGGATATTCAATTACTTCTATTCAAACTAAGATAAAAAATACTCGATCTCTAATTTTGATCCTCAATGATTTTTTATTCCAACTGTAAAGGCCATAGGCAACTATTTTTATCCAGGAGAGATCTGATAAACTCTATGGGGAAGGAAGGCAGTTGGGGGGGGGGCTATTTGGCCAACCATGAGAGAAAACAGTAGAGATCTCAGTAACAGAGAAGCCATGTTAGAGTATAGAAGTGAATGTTAATTTGCATGAGAAAATAAGCTATAAAATCTGTAGGAATTATATTGAAAGAAAACTACATAAAACTCAAAAGTAACATAACATAATCAGGAATGCAAATGGGATAGAAAGAAATAAAAGTATAAGA